CCAGCGCCCCCAGGCCGGCTCAGAGCCCTGAGAGAGGGGCTGAGCTCAGTGGCCAGGCCTGGGCTTCCCTCTAGTGACTCTGGGAGGAAATGCAGGTCCCGGCTGCCAGGGCCTGGCTATCCAAGGGGTTTGTGCACCAGGCCAGCCTCCTGGGCAGATAGGCCAGACTGGCACGATTTACTGGCTGTAAGGGCACAGCAGCCGTGGGGGGTTTAAAGCGAATGTGCCGCGGGCTGCGAGGGGCAGTGGCTTAACAGGGGCAGCTGGGCTTTTTGTGGGACCCGCTGGAATCCAAGTTGTTTAGCTGGAAGTGACTGTGCCTGGGCATCCTGGCCTGCTTCGGGCTGATCTGGGAGCAGGCTCTGCCTCTTCCGTCAGGTCTGTCGTACGCTGTGCGAGGGAAGGTGCTGGCCTGATGCAGTGATCTCTGGAGGGCTGGCGCCTCAGGCTGGCTCTGGGGGGATCTTTGCAGGGGTGCACTATAGTCCCCTGCTGTGGGTGCACTAAGGGGAGTAAAACAGGCTTTAGGTTGGCCTGAAAACTAAGGCTACGTCTTCACTACCCGCCTGAATCGGCGGGTAGAAATCGATCTCTCGGGGATCGAATTATCGCGTCTCGTCGGGATGCGACAATCGATCCCCGAATCGACGCTTGTACTCCACCAGTGCAGGTAGGAGTAAGCGCCGTCGACGGGGGAGCCGCGGAGGTCGATTTGCCGCCGTCCTCACAGCGGGGTAAGTCGGCTCGGATACGTCGAATTCAGCTACGCTATTCACGTAGCTGAATTTGCGTATCTTAAATCGCCCCACCCCCCCACGTAGTGAAGACATAGCCTAAGGGCTTGGCTACAAAGGGAGTTATTCCAGTTTAACTGTTCCCAAGTCACTCCCTGTGTGAACGCTCTTACGCTGCAATAAAAGTGTCATTCCAAAAATGAATCCACTTCAGAAGTGGATTAAGCTAATTTGAAATAACTGTTTGTCTGCAGAGGGAAATTAATTTGGAATACGCTAGGGTGTGAATGTAAAGTGTCTTAATTACCCCGATTAACTCCCTATGTGGATGCTTTTATTCTGGAATAAGAGTGCCTTGTTCTGAATGGTGGCTTAAATTAATAGTGGATTAAGTTAATTTGGAATAAAGCACTCTTATTCCTGAACAAAAATGTCCACATGTGGCATTAACCAGGAACCGTTAATCCACTTTACGTCCTCACCCTACTTTATTCTGAATTAAGGTTCATGTGTAGACAAGCCCTGCTACGTTTCTCTAGCCAGACTCGCTCACTAACGACGGTCTCTAGTACAAGCCCTGCTCATTTCGGAAGCTACCACACACACAGCCCCTGCTGTGGGTGCCAGTCTAGGGCGGGGCATACCTGGAGGTAGCAGGGGCGGAGTCAGACATCCCTCCACCCAGGACACACCTGAGCCTGCCTCGCCCTGGAGAAGTTATAAAGAACCAGCCAGCCACTGTGTCTCTGCTATTGCTGCAGGCTGAGTGTGGGTCTGTGTCCCCTAACCTGAGCCTGCAGAGGTTACAAAACAAGCTTACTTTATATAGAGACAGTGCAGTTGGCTGAGTGATGCCAACATAGCGTCGCAGGAGCGGAAGGGACCTTGGGGGGTCATCTAGCCCAGTCCCCTCTAGCTGAAACACAAGTAGGAGAATGTACCAGCTGAGGGTTAACATTAAGCTCGGCTTGGCCATCAGCTTAAGCCTGGGAGTTAAAAGTTTGCCAGCATAAGCGTCAGGAGGAGTAAGTGACCTGGGGTGACGAGGTGGAGCGCGAAGAGCTGGGGCATGAACAAGTTACCACAAATCGTGAAATCTGAATAGCATTCTGGGGAGGTGGGGGGTTAAGTAATGTACCTTACTCTAAGTGCATTGACAATGTTAACGAATGTGTTGACACAAATAGCTCTATCACTAATCAGAACACCAATTATGGTTACCTAGAAGGCTCCATATGGACAACAGGTGGAGATTTAATTACATATGGCCAGGGATGTTAATATGTAAACAAAGGAGTACAAAAACTGATGTAGGGATATTTACCAGTGGGGCATCAGAATGACATAGGCGATTTATGGTGCCCTCCACTGCCTGTCTCTGTTTTCATTGCTCCATGAAGTTGTGAGTGTGTCAACTTTGTGGACAGTTTTATACTTTGTGTCCATTTATTGGCCCGTGTTTATCGTTTGCTTTGGCTTTTGATTAGAAGTTTTGGGTCTCCATGTGTCGCTAACCCATCTCAAACTCAGCCTGAATACGTTTTTCTCAGGCAGCCATTCGAGTCCCGAACCTGTTGTTTGTGATCAGTTTGATTTTGCAAGTTAAATCCATTCAGGGTTACACTGAGGGTGGGGCTGGCCCGCCCGGGAGAGGCTGATGGACTGAGGAGGAGAGGGCTTGCAGAGCTGTCGTCTTGTAATGTTTAAAATAAATAGCTGGGGCATGTGCAATGAGTTTGGTGGGGTCTCAGCTGAGTTCCCAGTGAAGAAACAAACCAATCCCATTAACTAAGACAACTCTTCCCCGGTGCTGATGGCTGCTGCAGCGTCTCTGCTGGCTGGCTGGGCCACGGAGCGGGGGCATGCGCCTTCCTCTAGCCCTCAGCCCCTTGGTGCAGTTACGCGCCCAGCAGCGCAGGGATCAGCTGTTCCAGCCAGATCGGATTCACTGGCCGCTTTGCTCAAGTGTTAAAATGGCAACATGGCGAATTAACTAAAAAGCAAAAGATGAGATGCAGAAACGCCCCAGCGCTGCTGCCAGGGGCTGTCCCGACGTGCCAGGAGCAAGTCTGCCTTTGCCCTAGCGACGCCAGATAACCTGGCTGAATATCTGCAGGCTGCCACTTCGGCTGGTTCTCAGACCTGCCTTGCTGCAGCTCCCACGTGGATCCTTTAATCGCCTGCCAGAGGGATCTGAGCATCAGCTCTGAAATTCCCCCCGGGGCAGGTTCAGAGCCCGGCCCGGCTGCTTCCTCCCTGTCAGGTGGACAAGCTGAGCTCAGGTGGGTTCTTCAGACCAGGTCCTAATCAGGCTGTTTGCTCTGCTCAGGGTTCGTGGGCAGAGACTCATGGGCCGGAGCTGCTCCGTGCCCGTGGTGTGCTGGATGTGCCACGCACATGGTCTGGAGATCAGCTGTTCTGAGGGGCTGCGAAGGCTGGAGCCCTGTTTCGTGGGACATGAGCGCATTGAGCGGGCTGGCGGGGGGGATATGTGAGATGGCTCATGGACTCTGCCTTTCCTCGGGCCTCCAGCCTGCACTCTTCTGCGCTAAGAGAAACTCGGCAAATACAAACACGGTCTGAGACCACATGCCTCTGCCAAGCTGTCCTGCAGTGGCTCAAGGGCGTGAGTGGCAGCCTGTTAGGAAGCAGCGCACCAAGCCCTACCTGGCTGTGAGTGCCATGCTGAGATCTCACCTGTCAATTATCGCGTGTGAACTCCTCAGGCACCATAACCACCTAGCCACGGACTCACAGACAGTCCCCTGGGGCACTCTGATCTGTCTGGCCACCCAGGTGGGCCTGCCTTTGTGAGAGATGGTCCCTTACACCAAGAATCACAGCAATATTCAGGTTACTCCCAATCCCGAAGGACCGTCCCTTACCCCAGGTTAAGTGCACCTCAGATCGCACACCAAAGATGACATGCGTAACCAACCCTATACTAACCTATCTCAAGATTTATTCTAGAGAAAAGGAGATCCGAGTTAGTCATACAGTTAAAGCAGGTAGACACAGGCACACAAATGAGTTCCAATCTTCAGTTTCAAAAGTAACAGGAGCTTCTAGGCCATGCAAGCTCGGTATGTCCCGCGGGGCTAAGCCAAGCCTTTTGCTTATGCCTAGCGATCCTTGTCCCATGCAAAGCAGCATAAAGATCCAGTTCCCCCTTGTTAGGGGTTTTTATTCCCTGCCCCTCTTCTGCTTGGAGTTGAAACTCAGCTGATGGGAGGAATTCACGGGCGAGACTCATCTTAATAGGGTGGGGGAGCGTAAACAACCAAGTCTTGTGTCCACTTGAATGTTCCGCTCTAGTCTGTCTGGTGTGGATGGGCCTTCCTTGTGGGCTGGCAGTAACACCTGCTGGCGGGGACCGGCACGTCACACTAATCGCGCTCTCCGGCCCTGTCTTTACACAGCCACAGAGGCGGACAGCGCAAATGCTCAGCGATGACCTTACAGTGTGGGACACAGAGTGTGACTGAGATCAACGCACGTGGCAACTCACAGCAATCCCACAAAGTCTAAGCACTAAGCACATGCTGATAATTCTACTACCTATTTTAACACCACTAACCCTCGGGGAGCCAGACTGGTGCCCGCCGTGGATTTGTCAGTGTTCAGTGGAGGCCTGGGGACCTGGGCATGAGCTGGCACCTGGCCTGCCAGCGTCACAGCCTCAAACCCCCAAGTGGCAGCGGGCTGCTTGGAGATCAGCGTGCAAAGCAACTCGCTGGCCACTCCCGACCGCATTGTGTGGGGTCTAGGGACTCCATGGGGCTTGTATTTCCTACCCAGCCAGAGCTGGCGCTAGGCATCAGCAGACTGAGCAATGGAGAGGCTCAAGGAGGCCCCCTATTGGCTCCGTTATTATTATTTTCATAAGAACTTGCCTGTTTCGTATTGGTTCCTCCCCTCTGGCTAAGCACGAGCGGCTGCACGGGCTGGCGGTTCGGACAGCAGAGGGGCTGGTGGCAGTTCTGCAAACCGATCACTCGACACGCACTCGGCTTCATGCAGCCGAGCAGGAAAAAACATGGCTTCTGCGCATTGCGCAGAATCATTGCAAGCTGTGACCGAGATCGGGGGCTCCCGGACAGGGGCAGGTGGGAGAGATGTGTCCTGTCCTTCACAGAACCACAAAGAAATGTACCTGCAACTCCTCCTAGAAGGGGCGCAGCATTATCCTTGTCTGACGGGTAGGGAAACTGAGGCACAGACAGGGCCGGCTCCAGGGTTTTTGCTGCCCCAGACCACCTCCCAGCCCAGAGCCTGGTCTCTGGGGGTGGCAGCCCCCCTAGGTCCCAATCCTGCTCCTGATGCTGTGCGGGCCCAGAGGGGCCCAGCAGAGCGGAGAGGGGCAGGAGCGCAGGGGGGCCCATCTCCAGGGGGTCCTTACTCCTCCATTGGTCTATCTCTGCCCAGTGCCCGGGCGCTGCAGAGTGTATGGAGGAAAGACAGAGCCACACCTGGGCAAAGCAGGGTTAAAATGCTTCCACTGTGCCCAATGCTGATCTCTGGGAGGGGCGCTCCCGCCTACCATGCCAAGGGCTGGGCTAAGGCGCCCTATCGCCACGGGAGGGTGCTTGGGGCTCGGCCAGGGGCTACATGTCCAGGTTCCTGGTGCAGTACTCCACGTAGTCAAACTCCTCGATGGTGAAAGTCACCCGGCTCCATTGCTTGGGCTGTTTGTTCCCGTCCGGCGTCGCCACCACGAAGTTTTTGATGGAGAGGATGGGCAGCGTCACGCTGCGGTAGATCATCTCCATGCCCCAGGCCTGCACGGACGGACGAGGGACACATCACCCGGATGGACAGGCAGGACCCACCGCAAATCGCCGGGATTAAACAGTCGCACATCTGGGCGACAGGGCTTAGAATCTGATCCCAGAGCTGAACTATACAAACATCTCCTACTTATATACAGGGGAGTGTATAGACCTTAACCACACACGCCCAGTCACACACAGACCAACACGTGCACGCAGACACATGCTCACAAACACTCACTCCCACATACACCCAAGCTCCAATGGCTGGAAGTTTAATGCAGAAAAACTCACACTGGAAATACGTCGCCCATTCTGAAATGTGGATAATTTGCCATCGGAGCAGACCCCACTATTGCCAATTCCCGGGATTTAATATTTGATGCTTTCCTTAAAGCTCCAGCTCTTGGAGTCATGTGATATGAGGGGGAATCTCAGCTTTCCCTTAAAATAAAAAGGAAGTTTCTAGCCCTCATGGCTGTGCAGAAAAGCTGGGGGAGGGGAGCTGTGACCCCTAAAGGCTCAGAAACCCCCTTTTTTAAAACCTCATGGGTTTTGAACGTTTGGGGCTGGCAGCCTGGGATCCCCAAGGGAGGTGTGGATTCTCCATCACTCGGGCTCTGTACATGCAGACTGGGTGTATTTCCAGTTCGACCCCAGCGCCTGCTTACCCAGTAGGGGAGAGTCACCTGTGGGTGTCTCAGCCGCGTACCCACCTGGCCGCAGCTCGCACAGCTGATGCTGCCCCCTGGCTTCCAGTCCTTGAAGTTCCGGGGAATCTCCACGTTGTTGGATGTGGCATTGTAGTAAATCCTGCGGGAAATGCACCAAGAGCCGTTGCCATAAGGAGCGAAGCAGAGGGGGCTTGTGGGCCAAGAATGCCGGGCTCACGAGCGGAGCCAGCACGCAGCCACCTGGGGAGGGGAGCTCCCTGCCCACCGCCCCGGAAGAGGGACAATCCCAGCCCCAAGCTGCTCCCTGGATCTGTCCCTGGAGCGGACAGGAAGGACCCCGGCCTGATGGGGCCGACAGACGTGTCTCTCCAGGCTCTTGCTAGGAGAGGCTGCCAAGCTGGTCCCGCAGGGAGTCCCAGCGCTGAGCGAGGGGCCAGCAGGGCTGCCAGGCCGGGGGCCTCCGCGCAGAAGGAGAGCGAGGTCTGAGGGCAGGGGGCCGGGGAACATCTACTACAGCATTACACATGCCTGCGCCAGCGACTGTCCCCAGTGGGTGCTGGTGCCGCTGCCCACCTCCCCTCCCAGCTCCGGCAGCCCACGTGACACAGAGCGAACGGCTGGGGGCCCCCGGGGCACATGGGCAGGGCTCCGCTCGCTCGGGTCCCCGGCCCCCAGTCCCGCCCTCACTTGAAGTCCGGGTTGACGTTGACATGGTGCATCTTCTCCACGGTGCGCAGGTCGCTGCCGTGGCACACGGCCATGTTGCAGTTTATGCAGTGGAGGCGGACGGCGTCCGGGTCATGCAGCTGCCGCTTCTGGTTGCCTTCAGCCTTCTTCACCTTCCGGCTAATGATGGCGCCTCGCTGCAGGGCTGTGATCTGGGGGAGGGGAGGGGCAGCTCAACGCAGGTGCGACAGGAACACAACCGCAAGGAGACACCCACAGACACGCAGCAAGAGGCACCACCAGCCCCCTCAACTCCACTCTGTCCCCTCCCCAGCTGCTGCCATCCACCACCCCGTGGGGCGGGCACCTGGGGGCCTTAGCACAAAACACAGGCTGTCTGAGCAGCGTGGCCGGGGTGGAGAACGGGGCCTGAGGCCCCAGCCGGCCCAGTGCACAGGGAACCCCACTCTGTGCCATGGAGCATGGACACGGGCTAGGAGCTTCTGGCCCCCAGGGCTGTGCCCGAGCGCCGGCCCCTCACCGTGTCCCGGTACTCCTTCTCCGGCATGGCCTGCACCTCTTCGATGACTCTTTGCGTGAGCTCCTCCAAGGTCTCGTTCAGCCGCTCCCGCGACACCTCCTTGCTGTTGGCCTTGGCGAGGACGGAGTACAGACTGTTCTCGGCGCGGGCGCGGCCCCTGGCCTGTGCAAACGGGGACGCGCAGTCGGGTCACGCCTGGGGTCGGCTCAGGAAGGAGCCCCAGGGAAAGCGCCGGCAGAGCCCCTCCCGCCACCCCACTCAGGAGTGGGGGCATGGGAGGTCTGCAACGCCCCCCAGCGAGGGGGTTGGGTGAACGCTGAGCCCACGAGGTGCGGGCGGATTCGCCATCCCCTGGTGCTGGCAGGTGGCACTCGGGATGGAAGGCCTCCTGGGCGCCGCCTCCCCAAGCGTGCCTTGACCCTGGCCTGCAGGGAGCCCCCAGAGAGGAGTGGGGAGTCTGGTCTCCATGCCCCATGTGGTCCTGGCCTCGCCGCACAGCTCCCGCTCCTGAGCTCTGCATCAGCTCCATCGAGAGGGACCCGGCTGCGAGCGGCGCTCGGCAGGACTCCAGGGAGCCGGGGGCTGGGTGTGTGTCAGACAGACCCAGCTGGGTGGGCCTGGGACAGCCAGCTTCCCCCTGCACTGAGGAAGGCAGCGGCTCCCCCCACCCCATCCAGCCCAGCCTAGTGCTCGGTCCCTCGGAGCCAGGAGGGAGGGATCCGGGGAACAAGGGCAGAGCCTGGCCAGGCCCGGGGAGCGGCCGGCTACCTGCACCATGGCGATCTCGTTGGTCATCAGCCCGTAGCGAACCACGATGTTGCATTCTGGGATGTCCAGGCCCTCCTCAGCCACGCTGGTGGAGAAGAGCAGGTTGAGGTCTCCCTTGCGGAACAACTTGATCACGTCTTGCTGCTCGTTCTGGGAAGAGAGAAGGGACGGAGCTGTCGTTCCCGCCCACCGTGGGCCTGGCCCGGCGCCGCAGGGATCCCAGGCCCGCAGCGATGCCAGGCAGGCCCCTAAGCAATCACCCAGCCGCAGGGATCCCAGGCCCCCAGGCCCCTCTGCAA